CCCCCCCCCCCCCCCCTTTGTCAGAGACAATTTGCCCCGAAATGCTAAATTTTGGAAACTAGATGTCTTGGACGTTGTTAAGCTCTTTCAGAATATCATGACAAGTCCCATAATTTCACAAATTTAATTTTTATGACGTCATCACTTTAGAACTCTTTTCAACGTTGGTCCTTGCTTTCTAAACTGAATATGCTACTAAACCACGGAACACAGAACTCGGAACTTGAATATACTTCGGAACATGTCAAATAAATGAAACAGACAAAAGGAACATTTAATATTTAAAGGTTAGGGTTAAGGCTGTTTCCTTAATAAGTTTAACATTTTAGGAACATTTTATTCATATCTGACATATCTAGATTTTCGACCCTGGGACCCGTTTCTCGAAAGTCCCGGTAACTGGTTTCGGCTCCGAAGGCAAATTTTAAAGTCCAAACCAACTGTATACCAGTTGTTTCCTAGCTCACAAACCAGTCGATTTTGTTTCGTCTACTGATAGTCTTATTGTATCATTTTCAAATCTGTGTTAATGATATATGAAATAAATCATATATGAACCCCGTTGAAGTCCTGAATTTTTTTCAGGCTTCTTTACGCAATTGCATAAATCGCGTTCACTGTGACGATCGATCATTTCTTCTTTAACGAATTTTCTGGAATTTTCGGGAAAACTACCAAAACGGTTCGTTATATCGAGGTATAATTTTAAAACTCAGCGTTTCCGGATCTGAAAAAATTACTGTCATGACATTTCAGTACCGAGATATACTTAATTAGCTACCGCACTAGAAACTCAAGAACAGGCAAACAAAACTGATTAAAACACAACTGGACACATTAGGTTTATCCTTGTTGGTCTGTTTGGCATTCATCTGTAATCAAGGTTTATTCGTCATAGCAGGGGCACCCAACGTCAATTTTCGGAAAATATCTGTTCGGAAGACGATTTGAGATCTAGAATTTTCGGGACATTTGTTGTAAAATTTCTCGCGAGGTACGTTTTACGTTTGCAGTTGTGGATTGTGTTCGTTAATAAAGAGAATTTCGTGAAATCGAGGTTTTGTTCCATACATTTTGACGGAGGACTTCGTTGTATAGAGGTTTCGGGGTTCCACTGTTCTACGCTACCGAGATGCCTTCCGTCAAAGCCTAGATCTGATCCGCGGGAGGACCCGCAGGTTTCCCGCGGGTAACGATAGTAGTGATACCGCTGTACAGTAGGAAATTCGCGGTTTGTCAAACGAGTTGAGCGAAACGGAGCGAGTTTGGTTACTTTATTTCAGAGAGAATTCAAATACTACGGGGATTTATCGGAGAAATTACAAATCACTGGCATCAGATACAATATTACAAGCACTTTGATTGATTTCTCTGCATCTCAAGGTAAGATTATACAGTGAATGAGATGACTCAAGTGTCACGTAAGGTCTCATGGTGTTCCTGGCTGTATATTACGTAGTTGTACAATGGGTCGTTATTTTCGCCCTTTGCCGGCTATTTCTTTAAGCTTATGGGATTTTTATTTCGTTCTTGGCTGTTTTAAAGGAAAATTTACGATCTGGTTCGCTGAAGGACTGTCAAATAAAAATACAAAACACTGAAATTCGATGGTCTCGTCAAATATCAATGCCTCATTGAGTTAATGACGATCGGCGCGCGGTTTGAAGGTTTTCAAAATCTTTGTTTGAGGCCTGTTCGAAGTAGGGTTTTAAACTCATTTTGGGGTTATAATACCAATAATAATGTTTATTAAATCATTTTGCGTTTCGATATCTTCGGACTGGATTTCTCAGACGTCTTAATTAAACTTATTGGTTCACGTATGCTTAATTCACGAATAATAGAGAAAGCTTTGAGTCTTGTCTACCGTTCAGTATCAAAGCTCAACGAACGCAATATTGCCCAGTGCAACAGTTGACATATCTTCCAACCTAAACTTTCGTGCCAAAATATGCCACGGAGTAACGAAATTATCTGTTAAACTGAAGTTCAAGTAAGCTTCAGCTTATATTAGTTATTATATCATACCAAAAATTAAATTGCTGAAATTAATCGTGTGTAGTCATTTTATCTCCGGTTGGCACTGTGCTACCGTTCTGTTTGGCTCCACTGTATTATCATGTCTCTCGATACGACAGTATTATTGTAAGGTTTATTTCAGCGGTACTCTCATGGTTAGGCACACTCTTTTTGGGTATGGCTTTCAATGGTGCCTTGAGTACCAGATACTGGTATTTTTTTGTGTGTTTATGGCATGTGGACTTATGGTCATCATTGCTAGATTAAACCAGTTACATTGTACTCCATCGTGCATTTCATATTCCCTTTTGTTATAAATTTGCAAAACTATACCCAAAGTAAGATTACTTCAGTCAAAGCTTTTTCAAAACACACTTGCAAGAATGTGCATTGCTTATTTTAAAGCTAAGAATGATGTACTGTGGTTTGTAAAGTTGCATATAAAAAATTAATTTTTAATTGGGTGGCCAGTTGTTGAATTGGGTGGCTGCAAAATGAAATTTAAGAGTTAAAAGTTGCTAAATGAAATTTACAAGTAGGCAATGTTAAGTTCGAGAAAATGCTGGCCAGCAGTCTTTTACATGAGATAATAGAGGTGTACCAATGCTTTGCAGGGTCGGTCGGGTTTTTTAAGAGCTTCATTGTCAGTTGGTGCTTGAAAAGTGTTTCCTTCATACCCTGCCTTCTTCTTTGTGGTAACTATATTGGTAAGTCTTAACAGGAGCTTGCATTGCACTCAGCTGCAGTTATTGGCTCCTCTAACTTCACAGTCTTTGTTGATGGTATTAAGTGCATGATGCAGACTTGCAAACTCTCACCCATCTGCCTAAGACTCACAATTTTTTTACTTTTCTCATTGCCTCACAAGAAGACTCTCAATCTCACAATTTTTTGGGAAGTAATTTATATTCCTAAATGAAATGTTACCTTGTTTAAAAAAGGAAATTTCATGGAGAGTGCTTGTGCCTATTTAAGTACAAATCTTTAGCTATGAAGTTGGCTTATCCAGAAGAAATGACTTTTTGCTTTAAGTTTTGTGTCAGTGATGACCTATTCTCTGGCCTCTTAAAGTCATCAAAAAAAAGCGGCATCTTATTTGTTACAGGAGGCACCCAACTAAAGCAGGGCAATATCAAAATAACCAGTTAATTCCTGCAATGGAAAATAGGTTTGTTTAATCTTGATTGGAAAAATAGAATCTCGCTACTTTTTGTAGAATCTCCCGATTTTTTTTTTCATTCGTCCCCATATTTTCCTCTATCGTTAAAAAAAGTAATAAGTAGTGTAATTCTGGAGTTTCATTTAATAATTGCATTGAGTTACTAGTACTTCGTAAACCTTTGGTTTTGAAGATTGAAATGTATAGCAAATTTATACTTTTTTGTTGTTGTGCTTCAGAAAATTCTAAGCCACGGATGATTCAAGCAGACTTTACTCAAACTTCTTCACAACAGCACCAATCAGCTGTCAGAACTTACGGATTGGAGAGAAGTTAAAAGAAGTGTGAAATTACTGTATGTGTTATTGCAAAACAGTAGTCATTTTTCAAGTTTCCATAAGCATAAAATATTTAATGAACAGTCATAAAATGTATAATTTTTTCCATGTCAATATTAGTGTTTTGTTTGACTGGTCCAAATGTGCATAGGGGACACTTTTATGTACTGGTGTATCCCTGATAAGGCTAGTGAAGAATTCAAACGTCTTATTTCTTTGGCGAAACTGAATTTCAAGTAATAGAGAAACAGTGATAAAATGGCAAAGGTACTGTCAAAATCATCTGCATAGTGTACTCTAGAAAGCAACATTTTAGCTTTTGTGACATTTCAGTCTTCTTAGTCGCTGAAAGGTTGATGGAGTCCTACATAGTCCAAATGGCCTTACCCAAACATAATGTACTGTATTAATTTAAATATTATCTTTTAACATCCAGAGACACTACAGTTCTAGCAAAAGCATCAAGTTGCTTGTTTTGTACGGTGTTAAGTACTCTGTTCCCAGGGTTTTAGCCAGAAGGGTGTTCAGCCATCCTATGAAGGCCCATTTTGGAAGAAATACAAGAAAATTCACCTAATCTCTTTTAATTTTATGGAAAAAGAGGCCTTTTGGACAGCCAGCTTTCATTGTCTGGCTAAAAGCCTGTCTGTTTCTTAAACCTACAATGTATGATTGAAAGAACTTTTTCACTTTTATATAAACCATGAGCTACATGTATGAGACCAAAAGGATTTATTGTTGGAAAGTTATTAGCATTGCACATGTTTATTTTTTCTATAAAAGCTTGCATTATCATGAGCCTTTGGTGCTGATGCATGCAAATAGGGCTGAAAAGGCTTCCATACACCAATGTATTTCTTGGCAATAAGCCAACAACTTTACCTTTGGGAAAATGAAGAAACAAAGATCTCTCTAGTTAGTTTAAAATCATGAAGTGGGAGCTAAAGGTTTACTGGAAAGAGAAACAGACAAAACAGCATGCCTAAAGCAAAGTACTCCTAGGATTTACATCCACATGGGACATTCATGATGATGAAGGCTTTTCTACAATGAATTTTGAATTTGCGATGCTAGTAGACAGGGTTGTCAGAAAGTTTTGAAGTAGAGGGCTGAGTTGTCAAGGTAAGTGGCCAGCCAGGGATATTTTATGTGAAAAACACCATCCACAAAGAAATGGCAAGCAGAGTAGCTTGCCGATACTAGCCAAGTAGGCAGCGATTTTCGCCAGCAACTGGCTACTTTTGACGACCCTGTAGTAGACTTCTAGCGATAAATCTTTTAGGTCCCAAGGTTCATGGTTTATTCTTTTCCAAGTTTTTTCAATCAGGTATATACACGTATTATACAATGGTGCGATTTCACACTAATGATCTGAGATCAAATGCATGTAACCCTGAAGGAATCTCTTGATTGATAAAATCATAAGTAATTTGCAGAAAATAACTTCTGAAATGTTGAATATTGTGAATGAAATGATCTTTAGTGTTCTCAGCCCAGTTTGCACTACATACACAATAAACATAAATTATTTCCTGCATAATAATACTTCTCAAAATGTAAATAATATTCTAACATATTCATACTTTATTGTAAGGCCTTACATCACTGCCTGTGCACGTGACTCAGGCACAATGATTTACTCAGATCCACTGAATTGAAGATCCTTTTCATGAATAATTTACTTAATTTAGCTCTGGTCACTATGCCTTCGTTTTCAGAGAGGGATTTCAGGGAGCTCCATGATTGATCCAAGGAATTTGCCACACGCTCGTGTCTGTCTGTTACGTCTGTCAACAAGGGACCTTCCACCAAATGCATTACAGCAGTATCACAAATATACCGCCAAAAGGAAAAGGAGTGATCCTGCTCTAATTGAAGCCAAAGAATTAAACAGGAGCACTATCTCCGTCAAACAACCCACTGATAGCTATTCTACCGGGGCAGATAATCATCCGGACACTGGTGTAAACAGATCAAATTTAGTCCAAGATTTATTTTTGACAAGAACATCCTCTCAAACATTTCCTTTGAACACCCCTTATGTGCCGGAGGGCAGTCAGCATGTGACATGTGGCTTATCAAATAATGCTACTGAAACAGCTAGAGAACAGTATCCCACAGCTTACTCGTCTTGTAGCACAGATGTGTCTGGTTGGTCCACTGACAGTCACCTTGATAAGTGTAAAGATAAAAATATAGCTGGTGTGCTCATACAACCTCTGGATGTTGAGCATGTACTGAAAATTAAAGGAAATGTGCTGCCTTGCAGAAGAAATTCTGTAAGATCCACGTCTTCTAGTGGCTCATCAAAGGGAAGGGAACTTAGTGCTTCTGTGCGTCTTAGTCCAGTGACATGGAGTGGCCCAACAATTACCAACAGAAAGTATGTGAACTACAATCCTAATGCATTGGGAGAATCCAATGATAAAACAGTGCCTGTTGTTACAGATCACAATTATGCACTGCAGGTGAATGGCAGCATTTTGGTAAGTAACCTTATCTCTTCCATTTGTTTTGTAGTCTATGGTTCATGTTCTCAGGTGCCTTGAAGGACAAGTTTTTTTGTCAGCATAGTTGTCTCCTTATTCCCGTCTGCCATGTTAAGCTCTGGTAAGTCCATTTAAATTGTCCCCTCCATTTGCAAACATAATTTGCAACCTACATTGTGTTTTTGTTTTACAGTGTAGTCCTTCATTTATCCATCACAGGTGTCTATAAAGACTCTTCAGACAAAATCTGTCATAGAGTTCTGCCCCATCTTGACAAGAGAACCCAGCTTAAACAGTTACTATATGAAGAAGAGGGTGTAGACCTTCTAAAAGACCTTTACATTTTCCTGGATGTTTATGCTATTTTAAAGGACTTTTCACTCCTGTTTAGCACAAAATTCACAGGTCGAAAATTCCACCAGTGATGTAATGACAATTGAATGAAAGGAGAGTGTGTCATATTTGATGTCACTGCCGGCACAGCATTATGTCAATAATTTTTATTTTTTTTCTGTCTAAATTTATAATAGGATTCAAATCCATTCAGGCAAAACAAGTTGACCTCGTGACTTTGTTGTTCGCTCAGCTGCTATGCAACCATATTGAAGCTTGCTCCCCTCACCTTTAAGAATGTATGAGAGGTCAACTTGTAGTAAGTCTAAGAGGGTGCTGGATGAGGATCATTGATACGTGATCACTCAGATCATTATGCATCATAGGAACTGATGATTCCACTCTGGACAAGGTTTCATTGGCTCCTTTGATGTACCTTAACTGTACCCGAGTGATCTGGGATCACTGATCCAGATCCAGGTCACCCAAAAGGAGGTGAAAAGAGAGAAAGAGACCTTACACTACCAGCAGGGTGCTCATTAAGTGCCAGCTAAAAAACCAGCTACTTGGAGGTTTAAGCTGTCTACTCTTTGAGGAAACGGGGCAAAGTGAGAGTGAAAGCCTTAAACCTCAAGCTTTCCATTTTGTTTCCCAGGAATCACAAGGCTTGTTGTATGAACAAATGCCCTCGGCGAGGTTAACTTCAGGCCTGGAAGAAAGATCAAGTGTAATATCAGATGAAAGCACACTGTCAGCAAGTTTTAGTTCATTGAAAGATCATTCATGGTATGGTCATGAGGAAGTGTGGCCAGATTTTGATAGTTACTCACCCCCAGAAAGCCCTGAACCACAATGCAGCAAAAATGGGGATGAGATTTTTTTGACAGATTCAGATGTAGTTCTTCCCATGGAGGCAAAGATCAGTGTGCCATTGAAGCCATGTAATGGACTTCTTTCTCCAAAGATAAGCCTTTCTCCTGTGCTCGTTAAGGATAAAAGAGGTGTCAAAAGGAAATGCTTCATGTCCAGTGACACTCCCTCAAAGAGGAAGTCTCTATCCCCCAAGGGAGATCTTGTTGTCAAACTTAATGATGTTGGAGACAAATTAGAGCGGTCTCCAACTGGTGGACTCACTGTAGCCACTTCTACAAGGACTGGACGGTATACCTCTTTTGGACGAAGAATTTTAGCAGTTAACTACTCAGAGAAGTCTCTTGCAAAGTCTGTTATGAAAAGAACACTTCCGACTGAGGTCAAAAGACGCAAGGCGAAGAGAACAAGAAAGTGTCTAGTTCATAAAGACCAGAAATGCACTTGCCATGTTGAAAACCAGAGGGGCAAGCCAAAGAAAGGGACAAAGAAGCCCAGAAAGAGAGACACTACACTCTTGCGTTATGAAAGTCTACCATTCAAAGAACTCAACACTATTTCGAGAATCTCCACAAGGTACAAGGTAGCTTTTTCCAAATGGCCATATGTGTTTTCTGGTGCTTTGGATCTTATCAATCAGAGGATATCTAATCAGAATTTGTTTTGGAATTCCATAAGATCCTAGTCAGTTTTACTGGACACATTTAGTGAGCAACCTCTTGCTTATTCTTTCAGACAAGACATGTTTCTTGATGCTGTAGTATATAAATTTATTATTAAACATATATTATTATTGTTATTATGACATCTAGAAACATTGTTTGTCTCAATGAAAAGCAGAGATACGTGTAGCTGTCAATGGTAATCTATGCTGGTCATTAGGCTTGTTGTGTTTTTCCAGAATCTATGCTCACTCCTCCACCTCAGTTTTTTATGACCCTGCAAGAGTTGAATATGGATTCTGGAAGCACACATCATAATCTATTATTCCTTTAGTACTCCTGATGATAACATGATAAAGTTGTGCATGGAAGTAAGGCCCTTATTGGCTCATGATCTTATGGGTTATTCTGCTTTCTTTGTTTTGTTTCAAGAAAATTTTTAAGGAGAGTCATGCAGTTTGTTAGAAATCACTTGGGTTTTTCTCTGGGCTTAGATTTAAAATTAAATTTTTGATGGGGGCCTAACTTTTGAGTTAGGGAAACCCGGGCCTGTTCTCTGTCTATCGGCACAACACCTCTCCAGCAGTAAATTCACATAGAATTTTTTTTTCGACTTTCTTTAATATGAAATCAGAGATGCTTTTTACAGTTGTGGCTGTCCTAGGATCTTAAGGCTCCATCGTATTTTCACATGCCTGACACTAACTGTCCACCTCACAGAAATAACAAACAAAGTTACACACTAACAAAGTGTCCACCTCACAGAAATGTCTATCTGACAAAAGAGAGTCAACAAAAACAACTAAAACCACCTTGCATGGTAAAAATCCAACAGAATTTCATGCAGTACCATCAACTCTCTCTTAATAGACACCTCTTTAGGACAGACAGCTCAGTAAATAGACACCTAGAGTTGGTACCTACATTTTTTGACTCTCTAGAAGACAGACATCACTCTTAGATGGGCACTTAGTGCTAGTCCCAAAGGTGTCTATTTTAGAGAGAGTTGGATCAATGTACATTGTACACTTTACCCAGGCCTCAAAGGGAAGGGGAGGATCACTACAAACTCCTGAATTACATGTACTGCACAAGTATTCGGTAGCATGAGATTTGAATGGATGACATGATTTCATTAAATGGTTGAAGAAAAATGCATTTAGTTGTGTAGTAATCCCTAGGATTTGTGGCCTCCATTGCAGGTATTCATCTTGTAGCGGTGTTTTTGACATTTTGAATTTACTAGAGAGTTGACTGTATTTGACATTTCATAGTTTCCACTGTGGTTAAAATGAAAGGCTAGTGAAAAGGCCACTTGCAAGATGGCATCCTTTTACTGCTACTGAATGTACCAGAATCCTTCAAGGTTTTGCTTTCTTGTGCAAATTAGGGCTTTTATTATTTTAACCTGACTGGGATTGCCAAATTTAAGCATGAAAGAAAAAGCGATGGCATCATTTTACTGCTACCAGAATCCTTCAGGGTCTTGCTTTCTTGTGCAAATTAGGGCTTTTGTCATTAAAAATATAAAATATGAAAGAAAAAACGAAATTATTTTTGGTGTTAGTTGTAAAAACACTTCATTGTGCAAATGGCCTATTTAAGTAAAGAATATCATTGCAATACAGCTGTAGTACATGTTTGGCTCAAGCCGCTAAAAGTTACCTCACTGGAAGTAATATATGCTGGAAATTATTTATGTAAACACAATTTATAAAAATAATTTACACTATTATTTATTAATTTTTTTTAAGTGCTGACAAGTCAGTACAGGGCTAATTTGTACATTGTAGATGATGAAAGGCTAGGCATTCATGTCTAAAAATTTGCCAGACATCAACAATAATAATCCAGGAATGAAAGGCTAGGCATTCATGTCTAAAAATTTGCCAGACATCAACAATAATAATCCAGTGTTAAGAAATTCACAGATTTTAATGGCTTTAAATGAAATTTTTTTACAGTATTGCCATGTCAATATTTAAAAAACCTATTAATGACAAAGCAATAGAAGCTAAAAGTAGTTGACAACCCATTTATGAAATTTATGACAATGTGGAGGCAATGTACTGCTTTCATTTGGTTCCATCCTCTCCATGTTTGTTTCCATGGCAACCATGTTACAATAGCCTGTAGGTGTAATCCATACAGTGAGTGGGATTGTAGTGGCTTATGGGTAATAGTAGTGAGAAGTGGAGAGGGTTGGCTGAATCACACGTTAACCTCAACGCTTGTTAATCTGTTGACTACTAGCTTTGTACAGCTGTATAATGACATAAACTGAGGGAATTTTAAATTGCTTGTATTGGGATTTTTACTGCGATTGCAAGTTATTTGTACATAGGCAGGCTTGTTCAACTAAAATACTCCTAGACTGAGATGAAAAAAGAATGCCTTTGCTTTCTCCAAGTTGTTTGTTCAAAGGCTGCACAATGTCGTGTCTAAGACTGCTGGCAATGTCTTTGAAAACAGAAAGGTTATTTAATTCATTTTAAGAGCTATTCACACTATTTTTAAAATATTTTCGGGAATCTCGCCGACCAGGCCTCAGTTGTTCAACGGTTGGATAACATTAGATTAATCTTTTTCCCGTGGATAGTGGAAGTGCAGTGATTAATCCAGTGTATGGTGCTTTCCACCTGGATTATAATAATAATAGTAATAATAATTATAATTATAATTATTATTGTTATTGTTAATCTCGTGTATAGTGCTTTCCACCTTTTGAACAACTGAGGACAGAATGAAATGAAAATAATATAGTTTTTGTGGGTCATTTTACATTTCTGGGAAACTGCCCTCCTACCCCTCCCCTAAGCCAAAATGTTACCCTAACTAAGAAGCAAGTGTTAATTTTGGCTTAGGGGAGGGGTAGGTGGGCAGTTTCCCAGAAACGTGATAAGGCCACTTACATACATTCTCTTTCAAATGTTAAATGAATGATATTGATATGTTCTGACCATAAAAATTAATAAAGATATTTTAAAAATGCTACCATTCTCATGTCAGTGACCAAATAGCTTTTAACCCTCTACAAATGGTCTCAAATCTTGACCCCTTCTACTAATAATGTTGTTTACACCCGTTTATATTTCTTTTTTTCTCCGCATAGACATCAGTAAAGCATTGTTTCCTCGATTCTGACCTATTTAAATAATTTTGTTTAATTCGTTACATCAATGGTTACTCCAGGATTGTTAAAGACCAGTTAAGGTCCTGAATTGCCCCATTTCAGGAACGTCCAGATAATTAATGGACCCGAACTGCTGTTGTTGTTTTTATTCAAGATCCAGGTTTCAAACGTCTTGCAGATACAACAATAAAATTCTCAGTTAACAAAACAGGTGAAATGGACTGGTTTGATCAGCTAGGACCCGCGCTTTTATTTCGTAGATTTTGATTAAGGACAAGTTTTTTTGTCAGCATAGTTGTCTCCTTATTCCCGTCTGCCATGTTAAGCTCTGGTAAGTCCATTTAAATTGTCCCCTCCATTTGCAAACATAATTTGCAACCTACATTGTGTTTTTGTTTTATAGTGTAGTCCTTCATTTATCCATCACAGGTGTCTATAAAGACTCTTCAGACAAAATCTGTCATAGAGTTCTGCCCCATCTTGACAAGAGAACCCAGCTTAAATAGTTACTATATGAAGAAGAGGGTGTAGACCTTCTAAAAGACCTTTACATTTTCCTGGATGTTTATGCTATTTTAAAGGACTTTTCACTCCTGTTTAGCACAAAATTCACAGGTCGAAAATTCCACCGGTGATGTAATGACAATTGAATGAAAGGAGAGTGTGTCATATTTGATGTCACCGCCGACACAGCATTATGTCAATAATTTTTTTTCTGTCTAAATTTATAATAGGATTCAAATCCATTCAGGCAAAACAAGTTGACCTCGTGACTTTGTTGTTCGCTCAGCTGCTATGCAACCATATTGAAGCTTGCTCCCCTCACCTTTAAGAATGTATGAGAGGTCAACTTGTAGTAAGTCTAAGAGGGTGCTGGATGAGGATCATTGATACGTGATCACTCAGATCATTATGCATCATAGGAACTGATGATTCCACTCTGGACAAGGTTTCATTGGCTCCTTTGATGTACCTTAACTGTACCCGAGTGATCTGGGATCACTGATCCAGATCCAGGTCACCCAAAAGGAGGTGAAAAGAGAGAAAGAGACCTTACACTACCAGCAGGGTGCTCATTAAGTGCCAGCTAAAAAACCAGCTACTTGGAGGTTTAAGCTGTCTACTCTTTGAGGAAACGGGGCAAAGTGAGAGTGAAAGCCTTAAACCTCAAGCTTTCCATTTTGTTTCCCAGGAATCACAAGGCTTGTTGTATGAACAAATGCCCTCGGCGAGGTTAACTTCAGGCCTGGAAGAAAGATCAAGTGTAATATCAGATGAAAGCACACTGTCAGCAAGTTTTAGTTCATTGAAAGATCATTCATGGTATGGTCATGAGGAAGTGTGGCCAGATTTTGATAGTGGGGGGGGGGGGGGGGGGGGGGGGGGTATACACATATCACTGAACCAGCGCAGAGATATGTGTATCCCCTCTCTATTTTTTGACTTTTCCAATTATCCCTTGCTGAATGAAATTTTGTCAGTCATACCTATTTAACGCGACCAGTGATATATGAATTATAATCACGTTGGATGAGGAGAGGAGCGAGAACGAATGTTTGCATCAACATTGCGGCCCACGAAAAAGTAAACTCGCCAGAGACAGCTTCGAGATTATTTTGTCTCTAATCGTTGCTCTTTTGTCGGTTGTGTTGCTCATAATCTTGAATCATTTGTAGTCCCTTTGACGATGATTAGCAAAATTCACAAAAAAGAGAGAAAAATTCACAAAAAAAAAAGAGAAATAAAACCGACACTTGTTTGGAGGGGTAGGGGGTAGGGGATACACGTTTCGCTGGCAGCCATATTGGAGGGATACACATATCACTAGGGATATGTATACGGAAATACACATATCACGGGGATTCACATATCACTGTGACACCGGAAACTTCAAGGGACTTTTAAGAATGAACGGGTTATTCGGCTTAGTTCTTCAAAGGCTGGGTCGGGTTGTTCAAAGCTGGGTTAAGATAACCCTAGGTTAGTGCGAAATTTGAATTCATATAAAAGCTGAAAAAGCAAATTCAGTTTATTTCTTTTCGTCTACAATTTGATGATTGGGTCACGAAAAAGAATGTAAAAAATTAACCGGGGAAATGCTTTTGAACAAAAGAAAACGAAACCCGGATTAAAATTTAACCCCGTGTTATCGCTAATAGCTATATAGGCCGTCGAACAACTGGGCCCTGGTGGTTAGTTACCATGGCACTTCATATGCTCTTTTTATCCAGGATTATATTAGAGCAGACCGCTCTTCAAAGATCTCAGCCCGGACCTTTTGGGTAAGTTTCAAAGCTGTATCATACGCAGAAAGTATACTTCCATTGGAGCGAAGGATATTTGATCCTTGTCGTCCTGCACGTCCCCCATAGTGTAACTGCTCAAAGCCTTATGAGCTCCTGAACTGCAAAGGGAACTCTATATCTGCAAAACTCCCCCCCCCCCCCCCCCCCCCTTTTGCCACCTTCTTCTCAGCCCTAATATCTTTGGGCGCCAGTTTCCCCCCCCCCCCCCCCCCCTTACTTTCCTTACCCGCCCGGGGGGATCAAAAATGAGCCCGGACAAAAAAACACCCCCTGCCCCCGTGTTATAAGAAAACAACCGGAGCCCCCCACTACCATAAAAAAAAACCACAAAAAACAAACATATCAATATTTTCAAAA